CCCCGAGCGTCTGCAGCCGCCCCCACCCGCCTGTTCTTTCCTCCTGACCCGGAGCGGGGTACGGGGACCCGGAGTCAGACTCCCTGTTAGAGTTGATTGAAAGAGGACTTTTCGCTTGAGCGTGTGTTAAAAAGAATAAAGGGAGACCGGCTAGAGGTTGGGCGCAGGCGCGAGCCGGCAGCTTGCTAGGGGGCTTAAACGTGCGGGTGAACCATATTGCACTCTGGAGCTGGCAGGTAGGGTTGTATAGATAAGAGATCCTGGTATCTCTTAGGTGATAACCCTGCAATGCACAACACAACGTACGTTGTTAGGGTTGACCAGTTGTTTGCCTGACCTTAAATGGGTAGTGTGGTTCAAGCTTCCTCAAAAGTGCACTGTGAGCAGAACTTCCACTTTTGGAATGATTGCAGAATTCAGTGCTTATTTAGAGACGAGAAACAATTCTACCCTAATAGAAGAAACACATCCACCTTAATCGCCCTTCTCAGCTTTCCCTCCTTCAGACTAAGTGGGACTCCATATCAGTACTTGAAAAATTCTTGCTTTATAGAACAAGCGCAATTTGAAATTCAGTATTTGCTAGGGAAAATTAAACAGGAATTACTGGCATTGAGAAAAGTCTATTTACTTCTTGATATCTGGCATTCTGTTGGTCAGATCTACAGCATCCATTGTATAATTAGTGCATTTACGGTGGTGTGTATGCATGGAATGCTGCAAGGATCTTGGTGCATTTAGTATTATGTGTACATATTCGTGGTGCTAGGTGATAAACGGTATAAAAAGGTTAAAAGTCATACACGAATAAAGTGATATCATGATAGCACACATATATGTTTGCACCAGTATGAGAAGGCAGCTCTGCCTCTCTTTGAAGGTGGAACGGGACTTCCCCAGAAGTAGAAAACCATTTAGAGCCATCACATCCCGATGAATGCATTAATTTGATCCTTATGGTCCTTGGTGCTATCACTTACTAGCTGTGTGACTTTGAGCAATTTACTGCCTCACACCCTCTGCCTACACATCTCAGAAATAGGAATAGTGGTATCCTTCTTGCCTGATTGTTATGAAGAGTCAAAATAATGTTTGTAACTCAACCTAGTATAGTATCTGTTGCTAGTAGGTGAATACCAAATGTTAGCCATCATTATCTCCCGGCTTTAGCTAAGTTAATGAAATAGTACCTGAACTAATTGGGCCCATGGGTGGACATAACAGAGTCTTAAGAAGGAGAGGAGGCAGAAGCCCTTCCCAGTTTGTAATAAGGTATCCCCACCCCCATCCCCACCCCTGTGCTGTTCCTATCATGTGTGGGGAGCGGGAGGAAGCCATTGAGAAGCACTGGGGCAGAAGACAAGTTCATGGGGAAGTAATAGGGGAAACACCTCTTACTCAGATAGAGCAAACAGGCAAAAGGCAAGACCAAAGTATATAATTTGATGTTTGAGATTCAAGTGAACTTAATTTTTGTTTTTGTGTTACACTTACCCTTTTTTGAACAAAATATGACAACCTATTAACTTGTGAGTTGGAAGATTGTAAAAATAATGGTTAATATTTATTAAGCGCTTTCAATATGCTGGGCTGTATGGCACATAAATGTTTTCTGTGCAGTATCTCATTTCATCCCCTCGATAATCCTGAGGTATATTTATTATCTCCAACTTTATGGATGAAGATACCCAGGCTTAGAAATACTAACTTGGTCAAGGTCAGACAACTAAAAAGCAGTTGAGCAGGGGTTAAATTCCAGGAGTATCTGACTTTCCAGATTCTGTTCTGCACGGGGTAGCCTGTATGGTAAAAGATGGAGTTTCCTGGTTTTAAGTCAAGATTTGTTTATAAAAATTACTTGGGTGTGGAGAAGGAGGGCTTCCATTGAAGTTTTCCCCACGTAAATATCAGCCATCCAACTTACAAAAGAACTCAACCAAAAATTTGCAGTGTAAATCCTGAAAACCTCACTATGACATTTTTCAAAACATTAGAGACTATTTTAAAATTCATTCTAAGAGATTTATGAAACAAGGTGCTCCTAAAGGTACATTTTCAATATTAGTCATATTTAGCTACTTTTTATAGGCTAGAGACCCTAGGTTCTCATTGCAAAACACATACAAAGAATCTGAATGTATAAAATAATCAACAAATTAAGATCACAAGGGAACTTTGGCAGTCAAACCAGCCAAAAATAAACCGTACTGCTATAACTACCGCATACTGAATGTCTTCTCAGTATACCTGGCATGTTCACATCTGATCTTCACCACAGTTTTGTGAGGGAGCTATTATTGCTCCATTTTCACAGGTGAAGATACCAAGCTTCCGAGAGGGCACATAATTTGCCCATTACCGTATGTTGGTCACGTGGCAGCAGCAGATTCAAATATAGGTCTGACTCCAAGCTGATGCCCCAGTCCGTGTCCTCTGCATGTGTGGCCTTAGGAGACACTAATATTACTTTCAATAATATCACCCTTTGGTAGGGATCCTATAGGAAACACCTAAAAGTAAATAAGTTACTCCCCAAGAATTAAGAAATGTGGATGTTTTATGAACAAAATGGTAAAAATGTAATATGTAGTAGAGACACAATTGAGGCATCAGATTGTTACTACTAGAAAAGTTCTGCTTCATTAGTACAGAAATCCTTATTAGCACTGGGTGATTAGCACTGGTAAAGCCTCCTTAAAGTAAATCTACTTAAAACAAGGACCACATTTCAGGGTAATTAGTGAAAAAAGGTTTGCTGGGGACTTGTTTTGAAAAGAAAACTCAACGTTATTAAAATATATTTATTCTATCCTATATTGAACAAAATTTATGTTGTAAGTACAACTATGTCCTAATTATAGAATGAATAAGTAATAAATCAAGGTTATTTTTGGTTTAATTTTTTTTTTTTTTTTTTTACAAAATGTGAAGCACCTTACAAATGCTTTATTTCATATTTGACTTTTACACCTTAATCAAAAAGAGGGTCATTTTTGTAAAAATGTTTGAGGGTTTCACCAGTCTTCCCCAGGGTCTCAATTAATTCTTTGATATTTGAAGTATTCTCTTCTAAAGCATCAATATAGTCATCATCCCTGTTGACTGTACCTTCATTTGTTTGTTTATAGATCCTCGTTTGCCAGTTGCTTCGCTTTCATTGACATCATGAAATCTAACACCTTTTATGAGATTGGCAGTTTCACTTTGCAATGGAATTAAATGTATGTGCATTATATTTAAGTGTTTACCACCATGCGGGGAGGGGTTGGGGAGAGGAGCCTGGCGTTTAAATGAGATGTTTGAATGGGGTACTAATTTATAAGTGGTCATATCGTTAATAAATACTTTCATGTACTTATGACCTTTGCTTCGCTTCACAGCCTTACTATAGTGGAGGAGAGTGTGAACATGGGGAGCACACTTAGGCTGTATCATAGAAAACGAGAGTGTCAGAGAGGGAGAGCTTGGTAAACAAGACTGTGAGAGACATGGTTTGAATCCTGAGGAAAATCTACATAGCCATGCATACAATGACATACTTACATACCCACAGCCAGAGAGTCGTTTCATGACTGGAGGAGAAGATGGCAGCTTCATCAGCGCTCTCAAGTCCTGGATAAAATATTCTTCCAGAATGCACATCTTTTGTTTTCATTCTGTACTGAGCTCATCATTTTGCTCCCCACTTGTTCTACGTGCAGGGAAGGAATGTGCTGGTTACAACAACCACAGGAGCCTGGTTGGTCATTACGACAGTTCTGGTTGTTATTGTCAATACAAAGACATTGTAGTTATAATCGTGTTCCTTTTGCATTTAGTTAGCGTGGGTCTGACGCTCTGGGTGTGTTCAATTTTGAGACTCTGGCATGTTGAGATTTCTGGATATGTGATGGAAAAATAAAATCCTCTTGATTTTGATGAATTACCAAAAACTCTTGGCAGGTAGCCTGCTGGTCTCCAGAAAATATTTCAATTTAGCCATTGACTTTTCAGAATTCTGTGGGTATGGTATAGTTAAATAAAAACACTTATTTTTAAATAAAATGTTAAAACCAACACTGAATGTTGCATTTTGCATTGCAGTGGGTCATGCAGAAGGGGTTCAAGAGGAGACCTGAGGTGCATTGCTGGTGATGTGCATGTTGCTCTGTCTCAAGTAGTCTATTGCTTAAGAAAAATTGACTTCCCATAAGGATAAAGGTAAGGAATTCAAGAATTCAGCAAAAGTTCACTATCAAGAATGTCCTGCCCAGACCTTGGAATGTTAGACATTCAATGCCATTATGATCCATGGTGCATTATTTCCATGGAGATTAATATCTGTAGTCACTTTTCCAGCTTGAGCTGGAAGTGTCAGTATCCTCTAATGGAGAACAAAATCATCATCTAAATTCAGTCATTAACATATATTTGTGCAAAATATTCAGTCATTCAGCATGTATTGTGCAAAACATTTGCTCATTTAACATATGTTGTGCATGGGCATAGATTGAAAATAGAATGGTAAACTCAGACACATTACTGATGTCAGATAGTAGTACTGTATCTCCAAAGTGAGAAAGGCATTCGAAGTGTCTGGTCCAACCTTCACAGATCCACTGCTTCCCTCTGCAACATTCCTTCCATCCGGGACATGCCCAGTTGCTGCAATGATGGGCAAATCCCAGCAGTGTGTGTGAGTGTGAATGTGAGTGTGAGTGTGTGTGTGTGTGTGTGTGTGTGTGTTACACGCAGCTGACTTTACCTTCATTTGTTTGTTTAATTCTCTAGATCCTCATTTGCCAGTTGCTTCACTCTGATTCCTGGTGACCCTATGAATGAGTAATGTACACAACGTCCTATCCCAACAGCCCTGCTCCGCTCCTGTAGACTCAATCAATGCCTATGGCTTCTTTTATGAAGTCAATCTCATATTTGTGTCCTCCTTTCCTGCTGCCTTCTATGTTTTCCAGCTTGATTGTCTTTTCCAAAGAACTCTGCCTTCTCATGCGGTGCCCATAGTAGGACAGCTTCAGTTTTGCCTCTGGTGAAGTTTCAGGCTTAATTTGCTCTAGAAACCAATAAACCACTGCGGCTGATTTTCCATCTAAGAACAGCATCACAGCTCTGCAGGAGGTTCTGGACAAAGATGTTGGGAAAGAGAACAGTAGAAAATGAGAAAAGACTTTTAAATAATAAAAAGAATTCTGGCTCTGTAATGGCAGAAATGCCAAGACAGTTGGGAAGCTGGTGAGAAATTAAATTCCTAATGTTTGGGGGATTATTACCCTTTCCAGTGTGTGAGGCGCAGTTTGCAGGATTGTTATATTTCACCCTGAGCACTTTTTTCTTGTGACATGTTGAATACAGCACAGCATTACTATTAAATATATATTAAATATCACTGTTGATGTTTTATCAGAATATTATTTTTCTTTTAAACATGCTATTTCCAAAGGGTTTGGTGCACAGTTGAAGGGATTTAAGAGCAGAATGCATCTCAGCTTTTGTAATGGAAATCAATGGGAGAATAAGATTGATTTGATAGAAGGTCTCTGCACTTCAAACTTTGCTGACAGTGAGCATTCCTTTAAGTGAGGGATACCTACTCCACAAGTGCCCAATGATGAGTTTTTATGTGTATGATAGATCGGGTAATTTGGAAGATTAATAATGTCAGCAGCAGGGTTTTTTTTGCTGATGGGTTGCTCATTTGAATTTCACTGAATTTCCTTTACCAGAAGGATGCTTATGTGAATGGTTAGAAGAGTCAGCTGAGTCAGTTATTAATACTGGTTACTGCTCTTCTCAGGAATGAGCGAGGTAAATGTCCTAAACTTCCATTTATGCAGTGTAAATGGCAGAAAAAAATGCTTCCATGTCCACCTCAGAATGCTTCAAAACGCTCAGTGCTAGCTCTCCTCTCTCCGTACTGCTTTGCAATACTCAAAGATTGTTCTAAGCAAACGTGGTCATGTTTTCCACAGGGGCATTTCGTTTCCGCCTCTCCGAAGCTGGGCCCCACGTATGACATGCTCTTCTGCTTTACTTCAGTGTTGGTCATTGTTTGGGAAGATGGGGAAATCCCATTTGATGGAGGCCAAAAGTCTGTATAACTCAGAAAGTCTCCCTCCCTCCACCCAGTTTGTCCAAATGTGAAATTCTTCCCAGATCTCTCTGTGCCACAAATGAACCTAACCTTTGCTCTTCTGCAATATCGATTCTTGATCTTTGAGAGATGGCTGTGTTACACCCATTCCTGTCATTTCCTCATGTTTATGTGCATCATCTCCCTTTTGAGATGTAAATTCCTAGGGAACATTTATCTGACCACTCTATAGAGTAATATCTGTTGTGATACACATAAATTTTTTTTTAAACCAATTTGAAAAAACATCAAACAAAATATATTTAGTATGATTATAAAATACTAATATTCTTTTTTCCAGTATTGTTTGGACATGGTATTGTTTGTGCTGGCTTCTGTTAGGTTGTCCTAAACAGGAGGAAATGGTATTACCTCAAATGATGTCAAGTGTGGTTGAAAGAAAATAGAAGGCCTAAGGCTCCTAGCAAAATCTCTATAATTAAAATTACCAAATCCTACATAAATTATATATGAGATACATTGCCATAGAACCCATTTTACAAAGTGATTAAGAGAGAATAATTTTTTAAAACAAGATACTTCTCAGTTTATCAGGAAACAGCTACTGTTACATTTGTTACATATTAAGATACACTGTAATCTTGAATACTGTAACATTTCACTGATGTAATAACAGACTTTTCTGGGAAATAGTAACAATATTAGCAAAAGGATCTCTGGGGAATAAAATTTTGTTAAATTTGAGTTTCTTTCACATTCTCCTGGGGTAAAGAATGTCTTGATGCTAAATGACCTTTAAAGAGCACAAGAGATCTTTAAAGATCAAAAGAGATCTACTTTAGTAGATCTACTTTTGAAAATAAGTATTTGGCAAACTTGAATTTCCCCTTTCTGATTTGCCTTTACCATAGCAACCTTGTGATCTGTAACTTCATCTTTTTTTTTTTTTAAGATTTTATTGGGAAACTGGGGGAGGGAACAGCATTGGGGAATTGGGGAAGGGGAACGGACAAGTTGCTGTCCTTTTGTTCTTCAGTCTAGTTGTGGAGGACGTTGCTTCACTGGCCCAAGTTGTTACCATCGTTGCGCTCTAACCAGGTGAGGCAGATCAGTCGCTGGCTTCTGGACGGCCACTTACGGCGGCTTCTGGCTGCTCACGCTGGCTGCTGGCTACTCACGGTAGCCCATGGCAACCCACTGCAGCAGGGGCTACAGCCTACGCCGTCGCCAGCGACTCACGGCAGCCAGCTCCAGGTTGAGCTGTTGTTCAGCATCTTAGCTGTAGAGGGCAGTGTCACTGGCCCTCATATGTGGGATCCGAACCAGGGCCCTCTGGCGTCCCAAGCCAGCTCTTAACCATCGCGCCACTCGGCCGGCCCTGTAATATCAGCTTCTGAGTGGACTTACTTGATGAGCTTGCCCTTTGTAAACACATGTACCAACTTTTATTTATTTACATACTTGTTTCTTATTTCTTCTATTTCCAGAGGGGAAGTATGAATAAAGACAATAAAATACAGGAATGATAATACAGAAAACTATTAGCATTAAATACAAGACAAAAGTCAAATACCAAAGGATTAGGGAAGAAGAAATATAATGATTGTCCATTATCATTCCATCTGTGTCTTGTGTTAAACACTGATCAAGCTATATATGTTGTTATTTATAAATTAGTTTCTTGTAAATTTGCTTCATTGAATCAATGCCCCGAGGACACAGAATCTCACCTTTGTGAACTTAATCATTTGGTTTTTAAACTGGCAAAACTGAGCTTCATATTTTTCAGTTCTGGTGGACCCACTAAGGTATGCCCAGGTCGTCTCACTTAAAGCCATATAATTTCATTTACTCAAAAATTATTTTATTATTTTTATTTTATTTTATTTTATTTTTTTTTTTAGCTGAGCCATCCTGCCACCTGTTGGTAGCTCAGCGGCAGCTCAGCTCGGGCTGACTCGAACCGCTGTTGCTCAGAGCTCAAACTCTTGAGCGAGCTCTTAACCAACTGAGCCACTCAGCCGGCCCTTCAAAAATTATTGAGCACCTATTCTGTCAAGCAGTAGGTTGGGGGAAGGAGCTATAAGGATAAATGAGATATGATTCTTGCCCTTCTGGAACTGACATAATAACTGAAGAGAGATTTAATTAAAAAGTAATGTGGGTAATATGGCAGACCAGATTATTGGGATAGACTCCCTCTATGTAAAAACAACCAAAATAAGCATGGATGAGCTGACAACATAATAAGGAATTATTGGGCTAAAATCTAAGTGAAAGTGGGACTCAACATCGCTTCTGGCAGTGAACACTGTTAAACTCAATATTTCTAGCATGGGCTGTATGTTAGAAAGAGCTTTAAAAATTCCATTGGGTGATGTGTGCTTCCAGCAAAGGTAGACAAGCAGATGTTGGATGAACCCCACCCCCACCCCGAGAGTAACTAGAAAATCTAGACAAAATATAAAAATTACATGATGAAGGGATTGAAGAAGTAACAATGCAGCAAGAACTTGCCAAGCCTAGATCCTGGAGAGAAAGGAAGCCCAAAGAAATAAACCCAAAAATCAGCATGATTTTATCCCATTGAAGTAATTACCGAAGAAAAAGCTGAGAGGCTATGAAGATGATCAGCAAACACAGCTGAAAAGGAAGATGAGCAAAGTTTTCAGTAATTCCAAAGGCTTGGCATATAAATATTGGCGTTTAGAGTCCTCCAAGCAGTTGGGGGGAGGGGAAGTGTGAAGAGCAGAATAGAGTATTCCCCTTCCTTACCAGGACTGAAATCTGACTTTGAGATATTGCAATACCTGATTGGAGTAAGGTGACCTGTTCTTAGTCAAGCTGCCTGCAGAAGAAAAGAGTAAATCCTTCCTCCAAAAAGATAATCCAGAACCTTGAACTAACTCTACAAAGTCCAATACTCACTTAAAAACAAATAGGCATAAAAACGTAAAACTTCCTCAAAACCAAAATTAAAAAAAAAAAAAGGATAAAAGAGGCCCATAAGAAATTCAGATATTGTCATTATTAGACATACGCTTTAAAATAACTATCACTAATATAATTGGGAAATTAAATGACAAGATGGAGACTTTCAGCATTACTGGAGACTAGAGCAAAAGTAAAATTTTGAAAGTGAAAAATCACAATAGTAAAATAAAAATGTAATGGAAGGGCTTGGGGGCAGATCCACTAAGGCAAGTGCGTCAGTCAGAAGGATAATGGTACCAGATGAAGGTGTAGAGATGGGCTGGGGGGAAGTAAACATAAATACTGATTCTCTAAAACAACAATAATAAGGTCTATCAGGTTTAAAATTATATGGAGTTAAAATAGCACAAAAGTAGGGAAGTAAATGGACTTTAATATTCTAATGCCCTTGCATTGTGCCAGGACATGGAAAATTTACTATTGTGTATTAGACTGGAAAAAAAAATCAAAGAACAATGTTATAATTTCTAAGGTAACCACTAAAAGAAATAGTTTGAGAATATTAAATAACAATATAATCAAGGGGGAAGAACAAAATTATTAATCTAGGAAAGGAAAAAAAAAGAGTAAGTAGCACAAAGAGAAAACAAATAGTAAGATGGCAGATTTAAACCTAAATACATCAGTTACTTCAATAATTGCAACAGACTAAAATGTCCAATTAAAAGACAGTGTCAAACGAATTAAAAAATAAAACTCAAGTACAATGAAATTTCCATTTTTGTAGATCACAAATGGTCTAATATGGACAATTTAAATGCTTCAACCTGAAATGTATGTTGCTTATAATAGATATTTAACGTAAGAAAAAGAAAGTAACAGGAAGAAAAAACTAAACCATGCAAATAAAACCAAAACAAACTTGACTTATTTCTAAAAACATTAGACAAATTAGACTTTAAGTTAATAAACAAACGACATAAAAAAGAATGTTTTATAATATGATACTCATCAAAAAGATACTACACCTCTGAATCTGTGTACACCTATTATTATAGCCTCAAAATGATAAACTGGGACAATTAAAGGAGAAGTAAAAAAAATCTACAATCACACTGATAGAGCATAATTTTTCTTGGCAACTGATAAAACAGACAAAAATCAGTAAGATATGAAAGATCTGAGCAACAAGATGTCTACCTAATTGTCAAATATAAAATACGGCACTCAATGCCTATAGAAAACACATTTTCAATTGCATGTGGAACAGTTAGCAAAACACCAAATTAGATCACATATGGGAGCACTGATAACCCCTGGGAGTTTGCTAGAAACGCAGAGTGGCAAGCCACACCTCAGACCTACTGAACTGCAATATACATTTTAATAAAATCTCCAAGTAATTTGCGTGCACATAATGTCTCAGAAGCATTCTTACAAGCCAAGGACTCATGACCCCTGTTTTTCTGAACTTGTTATAGAGCCTAGAGCCAATTCCATCTGGCCACACCCAGCTACCTGACTGCTATTTACTCTGAAATAATGGGGTTGTTTCCTGTGGAGTCACTTCTACTTAATCAATTAGGACCTTTTTGTTGGTAAGAAATAGATTTAGAGGAACTGGGGTGCTCTTCTTTCACTTCCTCTAACTCCTA